GGTACAGTTGACAAACGATTATGACAGATGATAGTAGATGGTACAGTTGACAAACGATGGTTACATATGGAAGTAGATGGTACAGGTAACAGACGATGTGTACAGATGGTAGTAGATGGTACAGTTGACAGGCGATAATTGCAGGTGGTTGTAGATGGTACAGTTGACAAACGATGGTGACAGATGGTAGTAGATGGTACAGTTGACAAACGATGGTTACAGATGGTAGTAGATGGTACAGTTGACAAACGATGGTTACAGATGGTAGTAGATAGTATAGTTGACAAACGATGGTTACAGATGGTAGTAGATAGTACAGTTAACAAATGATGGTTACAGATGGTAGTAGATGGAACAGCTGACAAACGATGGTTACAGATGGTAGTAGATGGAACAGTTGACAAACGATTGTTACAGATGGTAGGATGAGGAACAGTCTACAGGTACACCATATCTCTATGTCCGGCTGAGGAACAGTCTACAGGTACACCATATCTCTGCGTCAGGCTGAGGAACAGTCTACAGGTACACCAAATCTCTGTGTCAGGCTGAGGAACAGTCTACAGGTGAATGAAATCTCTGTGTTAGGCTGAGGAACAGTCTACAGATACACCAAATCTCTGTGTCATGCTGAGGAACAGTCTACAGGTAAACCAAATCTCTGTGTCATGCTAACGGACAGTGTACAGATACACCATATCTCTGTCAGGCGGAGGAACAGTCTACAGGTACACCATATATCTGTGTAAGGCTTAAGAACAGTCTACAGGTACACCATATCTCTGTTTCATGCTGAGGAATTGAGGATATGAATTTCTGGTAAAAAGGTCATCATTAAAGCATAATACAGGCCAATAATTATTAAATATTTTTAAAAGTTGGAACAAGGGAAAGGTTCATAGTGTACTGATTTTTATTTGAATCTAAGTCGCAATAAATGCATTTATGTCTTCTAAACATATTACATGTGTTATGCTTTGATATAAAACAAGTATTTTGGTCATTTTGTAAATGGTTTTTGAAGACCCAGAATATATAGAGTGCATGCGAATACAAACTAAATAGTTCAAAACACAGTGTTTGTCAATTTTGACATATCAAACTTTAGATTGTATCAAAATTTAAGGCGAAGTGTACGTAATCAACTACTCCACAGATTTTTTAAAAATTTTACATGTGGATTCTGCTTGTAAAAATACATCAGAAAATAAAATAAAAAAAGGGGGTAACCGTTTTCGTTTTTCAGATACAAGCTGTTGAAATTAACAGCATGATACGCCAAAAATACAAAGGATATATAGGGAAAATCATAAAAATCGGCAGATATTTTTTACTTTATCAAGATTTTCTAATTCGTTGGTCCACAGAATTTTTTTAAAAATCGAAATGTGATTCAAAAATGAACGATGAATATATTGGTGCAAAGAAAGTCCTTAGCAACCGTGCTAGTTTTCAAGCTATATCGTCTGGAAGTTTCATTTTTAGCGGAAAAAATAAAAAAATATTCGGCGACGTTATTGATGTCTACTGTAACGTCGTCATAAATTCTAATATATAACGCTATTATACCGTACAGTGTCGTAACAAAAATCGTGTGTATAACCCATTTTCCTAATTTTTGCAAATGCTCAAGCGTAATCGAATTGATAAGGAAATAAACTGACTAATTTTCAAGGATATTTCTGCTGCCAAAAAAAAATAAAAAAATTGGCAAATAAATATACTGCAAGTGAAATAAAGTTACTTTATAGACTCCATCTTTTCTAAATAAGACAGGGTTCCACATCTTTTTGGCAATGTTTGTATTGTTCTAATAATTATGAATCAAATATCGAGTTTGAAATTGCCCCGGTTAGCACAGCGTTGACCGAATGATTCGATAGATAAAAAATAAAAGGATAGGGAGTAAATGTACATGGGACAAAATCGCACACAATGTATAGAAAAAGAATTATCAATGAACAGGGCTTTTATTCCTGTTCTTCATCTTGACAGTTGATGTAGGGTCTTCAACAATAAACGAATCATTCATACCATACAACAAGGTCAAGACGGCCCCTAGCGTCGACTTATGCGGTACTATTGATAAAAATAAACCACAGTTCACCTTCTTGCTCCCCACCCGCCTCTAAGTGCCAACTTGTGCGATGCTTGTGTGCGACGGTTCTCCAGTCGAAAGCACCAGAGATACAAGAAAAGTGCAGTAATTTTGAAAGACATCGATCGCCGCTAAAATATGCTTTAAAGTTACACATGTCGGGAGCGGTCAATGAATTAAATTATTTATAATTACGGGCGAGGTTTTTCAACTATTTGTCATACATTGCCCCAAAAAAGACCAATATATTCGAAACAACAAATGATAGACAATACATATAAAACTAAACAACAAATGATAGACAGAACGGGACACATCGAAATATATGTAAGAAAACCTAAAAAAAATATATATATATTAAAAAATTCGGTTATAATATTGAGGTCGCGTATAGAAGTCTTTTTTTAAATCTTATTTCTGGATGTTCGTATTTGAAAGAAGTAAATATAATTTTCTGCATCTTTTAATCCTCACCATTTCCGATGCTATTAAGGTATTGCGTGCAAAACCCATTATTTTTGTCAGGTTCACACACCTGCATGTGACACAACTCTGCAATTTTATTTTAAAAGTTCCTGTCTCAATCGCTTTCCTTTTTTCTTCACCTACACGACAAAGCATGATGTAATGTTTGATGGAGTTTCAGTAACAAAGGAAATAATTTCTTGTCCCTTTTTGTTAAATATCAACATGTACGACTCCCAAAAAATAAGAAAACTGCATCTGAATATTATCTTGAGAATTTGTATGGCTGTAATAAGGTCAAAAGAAGAACCCGCATATGAATTTCAGCCAAATAAAACAGATCGGAGTTTTTTTATATAACTTCCCGTAGCACAGATCATTCCCAGTGTTATGCCTTAGCATTGTGTATATTGTAATGCAGCTATTGCATTGTATAGTGTAATTCAAAAGCTTTGTGTATAGTGATATGCTATAAATGTACTGATGTAATGCTATAAATTTACGGATGTAATGCATGTACAAGGGCGATGTTATGAGAATGTATCAGTATGATGCTAGAAATTGTTCCTAGTGCAATGCAAGGTGATTGTTCATAATGTAATGCTATACGAGTTTAACTTGTGTATAGTGCCATTCAAGTTTTTTTTATATCATATAAAAATAAGGAGATGTGGTATGATTGCAAAAGAGACAACTATCGGTAGATCAGATGGGTTTTTTTTTTCTGTGAGTCCGTACTGGTCATGGTTCAAATTCTCTTTTGTTTTAAAAATATTTTACCAAATATCATTCAATATACAACAAAATGCCTAAAACTTGAAGTTTAAAGACTGAACTATCGACAAATTTAGTGTCGTCAAGTATATTAAACATTGTTGGGAATTTTTTCAAGAAAGTAAGGCCCGTGACCCCTATTACTTAAAAGTTTCCCCTATATAAACAAAATGAAATACCCCAAACTTAATTTCAATGTATTATGACGGAAAAATAAGGTCCGTGATCCCAAGTTTTTATATTGAAATTTGAAATTACATTGACTGAAAAGTCTTTTACAGAAGTTTACGAATAATCTATCGTCGAACATTTAGACACCCTAGCTACCTTACTGAATGAAGTGGATGTAAGCAATTATTAGATAGGCAACCATACAGCCTTCAACAATAAGAAAAATCCATACCGTATAGTCTGTTATAAAAGGCCCCGACATTGTAACATTATTTTCTTCGCCCTTCCCCCTTCTTCCCCTACCTTATACTCTTATACTCTATTCTATCATAATCTTCAATTGAGACTTGAGAAGAAAAATTGTACTTCAAAATTGTATTCACTTCTTCTGAATGATACCTTAAAGCACAACAAAAGAATACAAATTTTGCAATCCCTTCCAAATTAGAATTTGATAAAGTAAAAACAACATGTTCTATTTTTATCATACATGCGTAGTTTCAGTTTCAACCATGGTTCTAAATTTAGATTCTACTTTCCCCAAAAATTGCGGACGGAATAGAAGACACCTGTTTATTTTCTGCACATTGAGAACTGAGATTTGGATGACATAGATTTTACTTATTCCGAGATAAATGTGATAGTGCTCAATTCTAAGTTTCTGTGTAATGTCTTGTGGATGGAATCTGATTATCTTTTTTGGCTATGTTCTTCGACTTATAAATGTTATAAGGACTTATAAATGTTGCACTATAGTGCCGTAGTGGTCGATAACCCCTTTGTATCTTTTATACTTTTAACATAAATGAAATCATCCTTAAATTTTCAATTTGCATAAAAAACGGGACATGCCAACGTCTTTCTAGTTCAACATACAAATTCACATGCAATATAATTATTCGTTACCTACAATTTTACGCTACACTGTGAATTTCATTAAAAACTATTGTTTTTCAAAAAATATTGTGGGTCAATTTTGGTTTGATTTTAACGAGTTTGATACGACTAGAAGCAGAACTGTCACTGGTTTATTTGTTTATTTGTTTATTTGGTTATAGTTTTGTTGTTTAGGCGTTTTTACTTTCTGTTTAAATAAACACTGAGTCGTATTGTGTACCTGTTCCTGCCTGTCTAAAACAAAAACAGTGGCAATAGAGTCAGACTAACTCACAAGAGGATACTCAGATTTCTGATTGAAGATGTTGGAGTCATTCTGATAATTTCTTTGAAGTTTTGAGATGGCACAGGAATACTTGTCACAGTTTTGATTCATGATAGACCACACGAAGTCATTTGTCTTTCATGTGCCCATTTTTCCTTTCTTTGAGTAGGGGAGATAACTCGCGTAACTAACGATGCACGGTGTTTATCCCAAATTCCGCTAGAGGCGTGCAATTACGTATACTTCGCCTTAATGAATAAGTTATCTTATTGTATTTATTGAATTATCATTATCATTAAATATCTCATTAGTAGTTTAAATAAACATACCTTAACAGTAAAATTTCTTTTTCCTCTCCTCATATATTCCTCTGAACCTTTTTCTTTCATTAAATATTTTTGATTTGATAATATCTCTCCTTGTCAAAAAGTCAGTCTCTTGGGCCATTACACTTGGATGTAACTCCATAAATATTTTTATGTCCTTAAAACCTGGATAAAATATCACGTTTGTATTAATAAAAAAATAAAATTGAAACTATTTTAAGGATAGTGGTCTCTTCTTCTTGGGTTTTCTTAAAATAACAATATACATATTGGGAATTCACTTTTGTAAAAAAAAGTTAAAGAAGCAAAAGAAATGATTTCAGTTTTCCAATTGTGAACTTTCCATTAGTATGAAAAACAAGCAGCTCTATAGATATTGGAAGGAAAAATGGTGCTTTTTTTTTTTTAAATTTGAGGTCAAAGTTCGGTAATTCAGATTTTCATTAGTGTTAAAAAAATTTCACGGGGGGTTATAAAAAGTCAGAAAATAATGTCTGAATTGTGAAATAGGCAAGAAATTACTCCTTTAATGAAAACTTAAATAATAGTAATTCATTTTTGATTCATTTCCAACTACTGTAAATTCAGAAATTATTGCGTGCATTTATTATTGCGATTTTGTCATTTTAGACTAAATGGGATTTGAATTTTTGCTATATTGAGAAAAATCCTGTTTAATTCATATAAAAAATTTCAAAATGAGAGTTTAAATTTTTGCGATTATAACCCTGTCGCATTTTTCGCAATAATTTCTGAATTTACAGTAAATATAATCACCAAATGCCCATTTTTTGAAATTCAGATCAATGATCAACAAGAAAAATGCAAAGACGAAACAGGAAATTGCTTTCAATTGATATTTTTTACATTATATGTACATTTAAAGATATATATCTGAACGATGATAGTTGTATTTCTATTTAATTATATACTGGTTGCCACTACGTGGGTATGTTAAGGCAATTTTTTCAGGGGCAAATAACTCTTGTGATGCTCATGAATATTAATGAGCAACGTTGCGTCTCCATAGTGACGACACTGTCCGCTTCATATCTCTGGTCATCAATCGCTCTCGTATTTTGTTCTTTTTATTGATAAACTATGCAGAATTAGATAAATAATGATAATTTGTTGTAATTAAAAACCATATGTCACATTGTTTTACAAGCCATAACTTGTATTGTATGAAAATCCTTCTTGTCGATCTCGCAACGGAGGCGTGGCTTATTTTCCTTATTTGGAAAACCGATTCAACAGGAAGCTTGAAACCCACATGTTTTGAACGGACGGATTGTTTTTGTTGCATGAGGCGAAGAATGGCCTATGTACCCAAGGATTTCAGCATAAAAGCAGAATCGTACGACATAACTTGACTATGAGTAAGTATTTGGTCGTCTTTTTGCTGTTTTCTGTAGCCGACTATCTTCATTTTGACAAAAATCTACCCTTGAAGTTGCATCTTCTCCCCCTTTTTTCCATCTGTTCAGTAGAATTTAGAAATTATCCATGAACCAAGGATTTGTATAGTATACTATGCCTGAACTTTCTTAAATGCAAGTCCATTGATGGTCCACAGTGTTTATGTGCAATTTAGTTGAAGTTTTAGAATACCCATGAGTTGTCCAGGAAATTTGTTATGCTATAGTTACACTTTTTGATATAAAAACAAATTAATGTGCTCTAGCCTATTCCATGGTTGGCCAGTTGACATTCAATCTGTTTGAATTCATGAATCATGGATATTATTTCTTTTGAGAGCGAGTGATATCAGAACATGAGATTGGCAGCTCTGATAATAAGTTACTGGTCTAAAATGAATCTGAAGGCAACTGTAGAAGAAGAAGACACTAGACTGAATTTTCTACAAAGACCCTACCTCAATATTATCAATATAAACTGTATTGAGCACCTTTATTATCACAGAGTTTATAACTTCCCAGACAGTGTGTAGGCAAGACACTGCCAGATGTTTTGAAGAACTTTATCTATGTACATGTTCAAACTACACTTTCCCTCAATTTCAAAGCTGCATCATGCAAGGTCAGTTTTTAGACATGCCAAAACAACAAAAATTCTAGATTTTTATTCACTTAAAGACTTGAAAGACTTAAAATTAAGTGTAACTGTATGCTGATTGATTTTTTATTCTTTGGCTACCGCAGGCCAGATTCTTATTTTCTAAAGAAAATTTTGCATAGTATGTATACCTATTTGTCTGTTGTGTACAAAAAAAATGTAGTACTTACTAAATAGAAATTCTGAGAGACCTAAAAGAAGTTTTTTAAAAACCTGGGCTGTTGGTCCTGTGCCCAAATGTAAATCTTATATATACAAATGTATATACCCTTATTTTATTCTGTATGCTACTTTGTACATCTATACATGTTGTAGTTCTTTAATATGTATATGAATAAAAGGAGATGTAGGGTAGGGCGTACATTGTTAATTGTTTGTGTACATAATCATATATCATGAGACAGCTACCGAAGTTCTTTCTGTTCGACATGTTGTACTACCAGAATAAAGTTCATTTTTGTTTCATTCTGTTTAATTATATAACAGTCTGTATGAAATATGTTACATGTATTAAAAGGGAAAATAAATATTATAATTATTCAGCCTAAGGCTAAATTGATGTCATGTATGTCACATAGAGGTGTCTTCGAAAAATATTGAAAAACAAATGTCACCCACGGAATCAGACAAGTATCAAATAAAAAAGATTTACATTTGTATCTAGCTTTCCTCTCTTACATAATAATATAAAATAAGTAATATCAAAACTGGAAAACATATTATGATTGCCAACAATTCACAGCATGAACAGATCCAACACTGTGTCCAAATGAAGTAGAAGTTAACATCTATAGGTCACAGTGTTCTCCCCAGACACTTTATTTAGCATCTTGGTAAACTGGGAAATTAGAAATATCATCTTGTTAAGGTTTTTGTTTTATGTCACGAGTATCATTTTACTTATATATATGACAATATAGAATTATTATTATAAAAATTATAGCATCACATTGATATTAAACATTATCTATACATAAACTAATTCAGATGCAGAGGCGGATTCAATGGGGGGGGTCCTGGGCCCACCTTTTCTGGGGAAAATTTGGTTGTTTATATATATAGGAAATCACTGAAGCATGACTTGAGCGGGCCCCTTCTTGGGCAGTCTGTGCAGTGGGCCCCAACTTATGAAAATTTCTGCATCCGCCACTGAGATAGCATCACGTTCACGAAATAAAGCATCACATGATGCTGAAAGACCCTCGGGATCGCGAACACTGGGTTGCTGTATGGCTTTTAATGCTAATTTGGTATAGGGGCCCCCCTTTTGTTGGAAAAATTTGGTCGATTATATAGGGAATCACAGAAGCATGACTGGAGTGGACCCCCCCTTAGGTCAGTCTGGATCCGCCACTGGTCCTATATATAGATTCGGAAAAGGCGAATTACCTACCTTAAACCTTTTTGTTTCAACTTGGAGGCTGGAAACAAGCATTAGTTTAAATTTGTTTTGGCCTGAAGAAAATGAAATTAACAAACAATTTTTTTTGTTTGCAAAAACTTGTTATATTGAATGTTAGGTGGATAGTGTTCAGTTTTTAACACACCATTTTTAGCTCACCGGGGCCCTTCAGGCCCCATGTGAGCTTATGCCATCACTTATCGTCCGTCGTCTGTCGTTGTAAACTATTTCAAAAATCTTCTCCTCTGAAACTACTGGGCCAAATACCTTCAAACTTTAACCAAATGTTCCTTAGGGTATCTAGTTTATAAATTGTATCCGAAGTTTTGATCCATCAATAAACATGGCCGCCATGGCTAAAAATAGAACATAGGGGTCAAATGCAGTTTTTGGCTTATATCTCAAAAACTAAAGCTTTTAGAGCAAATGTGACAAGGGGTAAAATTGTTCAATTGGTCAAGATTTATCAGCTCTGAAATTTTCAGACGAATCGAACAACCCATTGTTGGGTTGCTGCCACCGAATTGGTAGTTTTAACAAAATTTTGCAGTTTTTTTTGTTATTATTTTGAATATTATCATGATTATTATAGATATATATAAACTGTAAGCAGCAATAATGTTCAGCAAAGTAAGATCTACAAAAAAGTTAAAATGACCATAATTGTCAATTGACCTCTAAAGGAGTTATTGACCTTTAAAGACAATTTTACACAATTTGTTCATCAAGTTTGCTAACATTTAAAAATCTTCTCCTCTGAAATACAGGTGAGCGATTCAGGCTCTTAAGAGCCTCTTGTTTCACAGAATTATTGCATGTATACTTGGAATACAATATAAATCATAAATGTTTATATATAAAAAATATTTGTGTCTGTAATACTGCTTACTGGATGGGTTCTTTTTTTTTGTGTGTACACAATTGTTAAATTGTTTCTTTTTTATTATTACAGGTTCAAGATGACAATGATGAGAACAAAGATAAGCCTAACACGTACATTGCAATAAGTGTCTGTGACTGCAGAATGTATGAACAGTTGGTAATCCACAAGCTTTGTGTCAAAATACGTCTTTTTTAACACATATTCTATCGTCATCCAGAAAACATGGAAAACAATGTGTTCAGGGCAATATAACTTTTTGAAATGGAATAAAGTAAACTTTCCAACCAGATATTCCACAGTGTGATCATGGTGATGTCAAACAGCATGTTAAAAATGGTTAAAAAAAATCTAGTAAGATTCAGCTTAAAGGTTAAAGGAGGAACCAGTTATTGACACCCACCATTTCTTGCCTGTTTTTCTGGAGAGAAAGAAAACCCTCCATTAATAGAATGCAGAAAGTGAAAGATATGGCTAATTGACTGTTTAATTTTAAAATTAATGGAACCTACAGATGGAAACGTGTGTAAAGCAAAAACTTCATTCAATCTATAAAGTAATTCAACATCTTGTAGCAGCCTCGTAGAGATCGTTCTACAGCCATACAGGTTGATCTAAAGTGAACAGATCTAACTTTCAACACAGAGATTAATCTAAACAAGTACGATTTGATCAAAAAAGAATTTGTACACATATACATTGTATATGTATAGTGGAAAAAATTACATGTGCAATTAATTACAAACAGAAAACCAACATAAAAGGGCTAAAAGTTATAGATATCTGTAAATTTACATAAGAACAGCAGTATCAACATTTGAACAGTAACTTCATCCATTAAATTTTTGTCAAGCTTGTGTATCAAAACATTAATTTGATTAAATATTTCTTTTTATGCACTGTATTGAAAATTTCATGAGTAAGTAGGTCAGATCGATTTCATATTTTTATGAAAGTTATTGGGTCCTTCATCACAATTAGTCATAGGTCACTGTACAGCTTTCAACAATGAGTAAAACTCTTATCATGTGCATTTATACATATAATTACCTGAGTTATGCTACATTAAATACACAAATTAAAAATAAAGACAGACAGCAACCAAAAAGAACAACATCAGCTTTAGCTTGAGAGACTGGCATATAAAATGTGACATAGTAATAAAATTGAGAATGGAAATGGGGAATGTGTCAAAGAGACAACAACCCGACCACAGAACAGACAACAACAGAAGGTCACCAATAGGTCTTCAATGCAGCGAGAAATTCCTGCACCCGCACTATAGATTAAACATGTTTTTGAGAGTTTTACAGTGACATAAACATGATTAAGAAAGGGCATTAAATATCATGTACATCTACATGATGTATGGGTACAAAAAATGTACATATAAAAATAAGAAAATGTGGTTTCATTGCTAAAAAGACAACTCTCCGCAACATGGACAAGCAACTAAATGATGTAGAAGTCAACAACTAAAGGTCAATGTAAGGCCTACAACTATGAGCAAAATTAAAACAACATAGCCATTTAGCTTGAATGCTCGTCTTGTAAATTGTACAGTTGCCTTTAACAATTGAGGGTGTTACAGTACAGAATTCAATAAAAAGAAACCAGAAAAAAGTTCAACCCCGAGAAATCCTAAGAAAATTTTGTAAATAATGACAAATGAAACATGCAGTGGTGGATCCAGGTTTAAAGTTTGAGATTCAGGTTGTTCAATAGCAGGTGGTACCCCGTACTTTTAATTCCCATGTTACAAAAAGTTTCATGTACATTAACCAGCTAAATTTAGGATTTTGTCGAGCCTGCGACCTTTGTCGCAGAAAGCTCGACAAAGGGATAGTGATCCGGCAGCGGCGTCGTCGTTGGCTAACTTCTTAAAAGCTTTATATTTTAGAAGGTGGAAGACCTGGATGCTTCATACTTTGTATATGGATGCCTCATGTTACGAAGTTTCTGTCAGTCACATGTCCAATGTCCTTGACCTCATTTTCATGGTTCAGTGACTACTTGAAAAAAAAGTTAAGATTTTTTGAAATATTAAATTTTCTCATATATTATAAGTAATGGGATAACTATATTTGGTATGTGCGTACCTTGCAAGGTCCTCATGCCCGTCAGACAGTTTTCACTTGACCTCGACCTCATTTCATGGATCAGTGAACAAGGTTAAGTTTTGGTGGTCAAGTCCATATCTCAGATACATGTACAATAAGCAATAGGTCTAGTATATTCGGTGTATGGAAGAACTGTTAGGTGTACATGTCCAACTGGCAGGTGTCATCTGACCTAGACCTCATTTTCATGGTTCAGTGGTTATAGTTAAGTTTTTGTGTTTTGGTCTGTTTTTTTTATACTGTATGCAATAGGTCTACTATATTTGGTGTATTGAATGATTGTAAGGTGTACATGTCTAGCTGTCCGGTGTCATCTAACCTTGACCTCATTTTCATGGTTCAGTGGTCAAAGTTAAGTTTTTGAGGTTTTTTTTTTTTTTCTAATACTATAGGCAATAGGTCAACTATATTTGGTGTATGGAAATATTTATGATCTATATGTCAGTCGCGCAGGTTTTATTTGACCGTGACCTCATTTTCAGGGTTCATTGCTCAGTGTTAAGTTTTTGTTTTTTGGTCTGTTTTCTTAAACTATAAGCAATAGGTCAACCATATTTGTTGTATGGAAGAATTGTTAGCTGTACATGTTTGCCTGGCATGGTTCATCTGACATTGACCTCATTTTCATGGTTCATTGGTCAATGTTTAGTTTTCTTGGTACATGTTAAGTTTATGTGACAGTTGTAATCAAGCTTTATCTTTAGGACTATCAACATAATATCAATGATTAGTAAAGAAGGTGAGACATTTCAGCGAGACATTTCAGTGTGTGCACTCTTGTTTATATTTTTGTAATATATTTAAAAGAATCTACTATAAGGTGAAAAATGTCAGTCAACATGAGAGATAATTAAAACCTTGGTGACTAAGCTTAAGTATAGATATCAATGAATACCAGCAATTGACAAGTTCAAATTCCATGGACAATGCAGAAAAATAAAATAAATATATCAATAGCTCAATCAAAATTGATGTCAAACACACAAAATGTGCAAAAGGACATCAGTTATGGTAAAAGAAATATTTAAAGAAGTTAAACATAAAAGCAACGATTTGGTATTAAACATGAATCCCAGGAAAAGTTGAACTTGTACACGTATGTTTTATTAGATTGTATTTGGACAGAAAACATACTTTCAGTAGTGTTAAATTTACAGATACATGTAATAATACAGTATTGCCATTTCAATAATCAAAATTAAGACACAGATGAGACTTCTATGCTTATATATTTTTCTTCGGTAAAGTTCCATTACACAGATTGCCCTTTTGCATACCACTCAAACTTTATATACTGTAAATTCAGAAATTATTGAATGCGAATAATATGACTAGGTTAGTATCACAATAATAAGAACTTGCATTCTTATAACTGAAACATACACATTTATGCAGAATTAACAAAGAGACAATCCAACCAAAGAGCAGATAACAGTCAAGGCAACCATTCTTGAATAATTGCAATAATAAATGCATGCAAAAATTTCAGTATTTACAGTTTTGAAAAATTGCTGGGTATCCTGATTTTACATGTTTTATAAACTGTTTTTTATCTTAAATAATAAATCATTTTTTGATAATAAAAAGTTGAAAATTGACATATATATATATATATGTGAAATCCCATTTTAAATAATTCTAGTGTTGGTTATTATAATATATAAGTTTATCCAGACTTTTTTTAAAGAGGGGTCAACAAGAAATCTGTAAGCAATACATGGTCACACATAGACTTTAATGCCATTTGTCTGTTTTTATATCAAAATTAGGAGATGTAGTATGATCGCCATTGAGACAACTATCCACCAAAGTTCAAAGGAAGTAGAATTTAGCAATTATACTTTATAGGCAACTACCGCCTTTGATAATGAGAAAATCCATAACGTATAGTGGGCTAAAAATGACTTAGACATAAAAAAAAAATTGAGAAACTTAACAGCCTAATAACAACAAAACAAATATGACAGACATGAACCAATTTAAAGGAAGCCACTGAAAAAATGGTCCCTTTAATACTGTAACACAACAACACAAATTCATTATTTTTGTCACAAAATGAAATGTGATGCGTTGATAACACAATATACATGATATAGATAAAATGTATGCGAGTACTGACTGGGACATCAATTTAAAAAAATGAATATCCTGGCCAGGTAAGAACTGGAAAAACACAAAATTAATGAAAAAAAGTGGAAATAATTTTTCACACAGCAACCCCCAGAAAAAAATATGTCTGTGTAGCAACAGATGAAAGGAAACATTCCATTTTTCCCACCCTTAATACCAAATTCTCTTGCATTTAAAATAAAGTGGTTCTCTATACTTTTCAAGACTTCTGATTGAACTTGTCATACTCATTTCCAAACATATTCTGCAACTGAATATGTCAGAACTGCTTCTTTTCTTTTATTCTTCTGTTATATAATTTTTAATGCATACCATTAGCATAAATTTGAAAACCCATATTTAATAAAGGGTTTATATAGTTAGAGATCAAGGATTTCATTTATATAGTAAGAGATCAGTGATTTATATAGCAAGATCTTGCTATACACAAAATAAATAGTCTTATATGAATATAAACCACCTGGGGCTAGAGGAAAGTAAATGGTTGATAAAAAGAACCAAGGACGACAACACATAACATACTCAGACTACCAAACTATACACCATAAGACTACTCTTCAAAGTTGAAGCGACCAAATTTGCATAGAGATTGGTAAAACAATTTATATTTATGTGGAAGGTGGAACTGCACATATTTTGTCAGTCCTTTTTTGGGGAAAATTCAACATTCTACATACAATTGAAGCCTAAAGAGGGGCATCAAACAAAGACAACTTGTTTTACTATTGTCGGTTACTGCAAAGGTCAAACGATTTCAACATATATTGTCAATAGGACCAATTTTTGTTGAGGTTTAATAATGTCAATATTCCCGCATCGTCAACTGTGACAACAGAGTTGCGGTTCTTTGATGATTGTACGAGTCTTCAGTGCGCTTGAATAACATAGACAATTTATCGAAACCATAGTTACCAATTATAAATTCACAAAAAGCGGGTTACCAGAGACGATATTTCTCAAAAAAATAAACTGAAATAGAAAGCTATAGATAAAACCTAATAGAAAAGTGCTGCGCACTTATTGAATATGAAACTGTAATCAAAATAGGAACGAAACTATGTACAAATTTAACGTTATATGCTGCCGGGTAAACTAAAATTATTATTTTTATTTAATATGTTCACTTCTGGAAAATCGCACAGCACTTTTAATTAACGGGAAAGCACAAGGATTCGTTTAAAAAAAAGTTTGTTGATTTTTATTCAGTGTAGTAACCCGTTTTTTGCCAATTTGGTTAAGGTATAGAACCACTAATTCAGGCCCGGTCGGAAAGAACATACAAGAAAGTAGTACATATTGTAAACAAAATAGTTCCTACGCATAGCTGTATCTTTGTCAATAGTTGGAATATTTGGGTAGTTTTAGTATCAAATGAAAGCTTGGGGACTTGGGATCACTGTAGAACCCTTATTGAAAGTTTTATTTGAATAATAAAGAAGTATATGAAATTTTAATAGGAGTGCTCATTTGGCCTGTTGTTCAGATCAGAAGTTCCTGTTTTTGTACTATCAAACTTCTGGGAACCAGTACGCTCTAATATGCAATTAAAGGTATGTTGATTTTTTCAGCACAAGTCAGGATAAGGTACAGTTTTGACATGAAATAACTGCCACTTTATTTGAACTTAAGACAAAGTAGCCATTAA